TTTCGGAAACCCTTATGTTTTCTGAATCTAATCAAAAATAAAAATCTATAAATCCGAGAGACTAGATGTAGGCTTGGGTTCCACACCTATGTTGTGGATATGCTAAAGGTACACACGAAGCGTTACGATTCCACATTTATGTAGCAAACGGCTATGGGGTGGAATTCCTTGCCTGCCGACTTGTTTCCTGAACGTTATAACTTGGACCTTTTCAAGGTGAGAGTGAATAATAATAATAATATTTATTTATGAAATAAATTAAGTATTACAAAATCGTGACTCTCTGACTTCCAAACTAGTATGATACTGTATCATAGAAGCCAAATTCTTCCCAATAAGCACAATCAAAAGAGATTTTCTATTGTAGTACTCTGTACAGAACTTAAAAGTATAAACTTAAAAGTACAAACTTAAAAGTAAGAAATAAAGGTGTGCGTGGAGTCAAGTGTTTCCGATTATCTTTGTGTGTGTGAAGGTGCCGTGTGTATATGTACTCAGGTGTGCATGCTCCATGATCGACCACATCACTAACCACAGGCGAGATGGATGGCAAATGCGCACAATAAATGAAGAGACAATATAAAATGAGCAAATACACGTCGATAAGATTTTTCATTGAAGAAAGCTGCCATATTATAAATCAATGTATTCACAATTACCATCAATGTCGTGCTGCTGGTAGACTTGTTGCTTTTTGTAAACATTGTTGTCAATCGCTATTATGTTTTTCATAGCAAAATAATTTTAATAAAGTCAAACATTGAGTTCGGCAAAAGAGAGCATGAGAGATGTGTATAAACTGTGTACCATGTAATGTACGTATATATATATATATAGGGTTATAATGTGTATAGATTCATTATTTTAGTAATACTGCGTTACTTTATTCAGGTATTTTATTATTCAAAATTTGATTATTTATATCAATACCAATATTCACCAAAATTCGTTTTTGCGTTACACTCACATTTACTGTAATATCAGTTTGGATTACACCTTTCGTATTTGTTCCCTTTTCTTGACAAGGCAGAAATTGATTAAAAATCTTTAGCATGCTTGAAATTAACAATGCAGCGCGTTTGCAACGGTACAAACGCACGACTCTATCGATGCAATCGCCTATAAATGCCAAGTGTAGCGATGCAATCGCGCGTTTGTAACGATGCAGTTGCGCTCTTGCAGCGCGTTTGCAATGGTGCAAACGCACGACTTTATCGATGCAATCGCCTATAAATGCCAAGCGTAGCGATGCAATCGCGCGTTTGTAACGACGCAGTCGCGCTCTTGCAGCGCGTTTGCATCGGTGCAACGACGCGACTCTATCGATGCAATACGTTTGCAACGGTGCTAAAAGTCGCCGTGTGTAACCTCTCTAAGAGAAAACGTTAATGTTTCTCTACGGAACTCTAACAAGAAAAGTGTTTTATATAAGCTAAAATAAGCGAACTGTCATAGGCAGCATCTTATATAAACAGGAATAAATTGGCATGTCGTCGAAGTATTGTTTATGCAATTGGACAATCTTGAAATAAAATAGTACGGATATTAATTAAACTCGAGAGAAAATAAAAAAATGGCAACCCCAATTAAACAGGTGGAGTGGAGTCATTCGCCTGTCAGGTATAAAAAAAAAAAAAAAAAAAAAACACCAAAAAAACTATATACCAAACTTATATTTACGTTTACGTAAAAATAAACTTTTTTGTCACAATGACATACCTATTGACTACTCAAATAGCGTCCAGATTAATAATAATATTAAACTACCGAACATAGTTATTTTTACTTGACATTGGCAAAATCATTGATTATTTCGATGGAGCCATAACATTTAAAAGAAGAAGAAGAAGAAAATAACGTATCATTTTGCTTTATTTTTAGTCTAGTGGCCATTAGATACTATAAATCGATATCTTTATGGACATCGAATGAATGAAAAAGAACACGACAACGATACGAAATTTAATGAGATCACCACAAAATAAACTTGCAGCAGCTAAATAACTGATTGTAACAGTAGCTACAAGAATAACCTATGAAGGTTTCTTATTCATTTTTTAAGATTGCAAAGATTACAAAGTGATTCGAAGAACTTCTGATGATGCTTACAATAACAAGGCGGCTCAGATAATCACTAAACTGATTCCAAATTTCTGGGAACAATAATATTATAACGTGTTGGGTTGGTTGAGCCTTTACACGCCGAGCTGCGTTCAAACGTGAAGTAACCTAGAAACGAACATACACAAACAATCGCATGCCGGCTCCGCCACTGACCTATTTTACATATGAATCATACAAAGAGTCACCGAAACAACTGTATCTTCCATAGTTTTTTGCGCCAGGATAATTTTTTGCTATACGACATTTCATTCAACCCCAAGAGCTAAAAAGCTAAGCGCACTGAACCCACAAGAGAAGTTAACGAAAACACTGCACTGGTTGCTAATATCACATGCTCACAAAGTGAAAAATGTCAATTTTGTATCAATTTTAATATTGTTTAAATTTATTACCTTTAGTTCCAGATTCCTTACCACAGCACGACTTCTTTTTATTCTCCTGACATTTTGGAACGAAAACTGTGACACTATAACTGTACTAAAAATAATCTAGTGTGATCCCAATGACAGTTCATGAAAATGAACACAATTTATCCTTGTAACGATGTGCATTACGTATTTCATAAAAAAAAATTATAAGCCTCGCTTTTAAATGAATAGCCTTTGCATAAGTAAGTAAACCAAAGTAAAAATGACACCAAATTAATGTTTATTTCTAAAAAATGAGCGGAAAATCATTTCTATTTTCAAAAATTCATAATTTTTTGCGAAAATGTGCAAAGGTTACTTTATTACACTGCATTTGCTATTTATTTGCTCATCTCTAGATGAGGTATATCAACCATGACCATGGGACCTGTAAAGGGCCCGAAACGTCGGTTTGTTTGAAAAAACAAATATACGCGATTTAAATCCGGAAAAATAGTTTCATTTCCTATGAGGTATATCGATAAAAAAATTCGATAATTTAAAGAATACGTTTATAGTTCGGGTATTCATTCTTAGAGTATGAATTTTAATCATAGGCAATGAATTAACATGTCAGTGTTATTACTTCTTTGAGACCTGTAAATTAACGATAGGATAAACGTTTTCCGAAATTTTCTAAAATGTATTTTGAAATGTCCTAATTGTACTTTCTAGTATCTAAGCTTTTATTGTACTTTACCAATTATTATTATTGATATATAGAATAAAAAGTTCTATATAACATAGAACTTTTACTTTTAAAAATCAAAAACACTAAATATCTATAGACTTTACATCATCCCTATGACGTCAAATGAAGTATCACAGGCATCTCCTAGGTTGCATTTAGTAAAGTGGTTAAAAATCCTGAAAATCTATGTAAATTTAGTAACATTTATCAAGATTTGACTGTTCAATATAAAAAAAAAATTATAAATGTTCTTATTTTTATGATGTCATTTATATTTCCCGGAAAGCTAATGGGAGATGATGAATCAAGAAAATAGGATGGTTTACGTAGTTCAGTATTAGTAAAGATATCCATCTGAATTTAAAGTGTGATTGTAACATTAGAATTCAGTGTAGCACGGCGGCACTGCCCCACAGGTAGCCATTGATTCCCGCAGCGTTAAGTGAATCTTGCAACGCTATTGTAATAAATCCCGATAAAATAAAAGAATCCATCGGCTCCATTAGCTCGCTGTTCACGTGTTTAATAATTGTACTCATCTAAAATCTTAGACGAGACCATTAAAATAGAAGAGGCCATGTTCCCACTCGTAAATAAAGTATTAGGTATCGTTTGAGATAGCCCAAACATTATTTTAGTAAGACAATAATGTCACCGTCTCAACTCCTCAACTTCTTACAAATGTGAGGTTAACATACAAGATACCAGGAATGCATGTGTGGTAGAAAAAATCCCAAGGACACCTCTAAAATAGGGTGTGTAACATACAAACAACGAGTACAATTAATTTGACTAATGAGCTCTATGTCAATTGAGGAAAACAGAGCTACGTGAATACTCGTGCACGCAATTGACTTTGAATCGATGATGTGCACGATATTGGCCTAAAGATAGAAAGTCATTCAACGTTATGAGAAACAAACATGTTTTTAATATTTTGTATAGTTTAATGCGACAGCCAGTTCATTTGAAATGAAAATCTAGAGCACAGACGTGTTATACAACTAAAAGCAAAATATTACAGAATACCGTAAACACTCTTTGAAAAGTGAAATAAAAATAGAAAGGACCCCAAGGGCAACAAAACACATTTACTCAAAAGTATATAAAGAAACAGTACATAGTTTCTTGCCACAATGAGTCATGGAGCGCTACTCAAGATGAATTTATTACGTGTTGCTCAAAGATCAAAATAAAACATTAGTAGGTGTAAGAGAATCAGAAATGGTATTTAAATAATTTTTATATTGAATTAACAAATGAAAAAAGCCTTCGAAAATACATTCGACATAAGACTCATAAAGCGGATTTAAGAATTACTTAGATTTAAGTTGCTCTTAACGTTTACATTGGTTTCCCTGGGATAGCGTTCCTTTTAATTCAAATAGATAGTAATTTTTCACTCAGAATCTAAGTTCGGTTTCGTAGATTATAAATAAATGGCTACTGAATCTCCCTTAAGATTTTTAATGTGTCTGGAACAGCTGTCGCGTGCGCGTGAGTCATATGACATTGGTCCGAAAAACGCTGGGAAATGCGAGTAATGTATTTAAAAAATATCACCCGACCCTGAATTTGATCGCGGATTTAATAATCTGTACCCGAAATTGTTCTTGTAACCCAAATTACCACCAATAAACTTTGGCAATAACACAACTTATTCTCCGCGAAGATAAACATCTAATAGCAAAATTCAGTATATCTGTAACTTTGTTGCTCTAACTACACGCAATCGAGGTTAATAATAACAAACTACAAATCAAGTAAAAAGTACTTACATTGTGCTGATGCAGTGTGAGTACAACATTGTCAAAAGTTGATGAGTTGGAAAGAGCTTCTGAGCTGCCTCGAAGAAGTTCTGCCAGCAAATCAGCTCCTGGTTTCACTCCAGCTAATTTGGATGGTGAAGATGTTGCTCTAACATGTGTTGGACCCCTTGTTCTTGTCCCAACGGTTGCAGCACCAGCACTTGTTTTACGACTAGGAACAGTTGCATCAGACAAACTTCTTCTCCCTACTTCAACTGACCTACTCGCTGGTGCTTCAAGTGTTTTTCCAAAGGGTCCTCTACAAAATTGTTGTCGTCTAACCTCAAGTTCAGAAACGTCTGAAGGACTGTAAGGAGATGGCGAAGCAGTCCGATCCCTCGAACAGGAATCACTTTCAGCCTCTGAAGGGGAATCACCTCTAGAAATTACCCCGTACTTTCGCCTTGCTCGATAAGAATCTTCATCTCTTTCATCAGAACTTTGCTGTGAGAATCTAGCTCGTCTAGCCCGTAATTCTTCCGAACGAGGCCACATCATTATAGGAGCTTCACAAGGACTGGGTGGACCATTTGTACAAGAGTCGTCAGATTTATCACCTAGTAACGACGACGTTCTAGTTTCAGCTGACAGGCGCATTTCCTGAAGAGAAGCGTCACTATTTTCACGCTTACAACCATTAATAGTAGGTGTTGTTTCCTCTTCCCCTCCGTCATCACTAGCAGTAGTTATATAAATTCCTTTTCTTCTCTTACTTTTGTCTAATGGCTTGCGTCGCTCTCTGGCGCTTAAAGGGGCTGGTGCAGGTGTGAGATCCCTATCTTTCACAGCAGCTAACAAATTGGCTACTTGTTCACTCGTAATCGTTTCGTCTTCTTTGTCACGATCTAATGACCCATCTGATGCAGCATCCGATCTTTGCGTTTCCTCCTGCGGTAACTCTTGCGACCACTGTTTCACAATACACTCATATACAGGCACAGGAATAGAACTGGCAATCGCGCTAGCTGAATCTTCACGTTCAACTGGAAAGTTTATACACTCACAGTCTATATTCGCACACGCATTTGGAGGAGGAGCTGGAAGAGGTGGAAAAGTAAAAGGCTGGGCAGGTTCAAGTGGTGAAGTGCCTTCACTGTGTGCTTGAGCACTATCGGCCTGTGAACCATCACTTTCTTCGCGCAGTTCATGTAAAACACGTGGTGCCATAAGCGCAGGAAGACTGCCACTAGCTTCGCTTCGGCCCTCTTCTCGTACTGGCGGTACCCGTCGTGGCAAAGGATGTGTAAGCGACCGCGCTCCCAACTGCTTATGTGGTGCATCCGGTGGAGGCGATCGCGGCGCTGGAGAGGCGTGCGCCAGTAAGCCCTCGTCGGATCCAACAGCAGAGTCTACGGAAGCAACCGACCCACCTTCAGTTACATTTTCTTCTGTTGCACTTGTAGACTCGGCATCACGAATTGATGCTGAAATTCCTGCCCTTTCCGAATCCGCCCTTGCTGACCGTTTCCCAAAGTCAAAAATTGAAGGTTGTTGTCGACTGATGCCTCTGTAATACTTATCAGGAGCAAAATCACCTTGTGAAAAAGATGCACTTCTGTATGGTATAGTTTTTTGTGCATAAGATCCCACTATCGAACGAGGTTCGACGCGAACTAGAGTGATTTTATTAGCATCAAAATCATCGTAGCGATCAACGGAGACACCTCGCGGAGGACTATGACGATGTCGAGATCTTGGTGGTGGTACAGGAGGAAGCACGGGGGCTGAATGTGGTGGAGGCGGTGGTGGTGGTGGTGGGGGAGAAGGTGTATGCAGTGGTGTGGTATGGGCGCGCAGTAAGCGCTCGGTGAGGTCCCGCAAGCGTTTTTGGCGGGAGGGCCGCTCTTCGCGCCCGCCGCGGCCCAGATTGCGTTGGAAGCGATCCAGCGTGCGGCGATCAGGCTTCGCGCGACCAAGGCACGCCGCCACCGCTTCCTCTGAGCAGCAGCGGCAGGGGCAGGCCCGCGGGGGCGGTGCGCGGCGGACGGCGTACCGCACCGCACCCAGCGTCACGTACGGGGACCTGCGCACACGACGCCGTTATATTTAGATTAGGGTACGTCCGAGCGTCCGCACGCCGAAAAGCTTGGCGGCGAGTGCGACAGATTTAGAGCGGGCAAGCTTCCCCCGCGATCCGCCGTTGAATTCCGGGAGGATTCCCCACGACCCACTCTCCTACGGTTCAACAGTTACAACAAAGTTTTATTCATCCAAAATGTCGATGTACTATTAAGAACAAAAGTTACTGAACAGCTAGCGTTTTTCTAATTTCAGTTTTCAAAGTTTTGATATTCCTTACCAGTGTAGTAACCTTACAAATATTGAAATCTTTTAATATTAGTTTGATGTAAATTGATCAAGAAAATCAGTGAGTGACCAGCAACATTTTGAAACTATTACATACTACTTAGATAAGAAATACATTAGGTTCTAGTGCAGTTTAAAAAGTAAGCATTCTCTGGCTAAGGATAGCAGGTGGCAGTCAGACGAACGGAAGACGCCGCGACTATAAATAGGTTAATGTTGGTGATTTGGCGACAACGCGACCTCGAAGTAATGTTGACAATTTGTAATAATTATTTCATAGCATCGTAATTTGAGGTAATTTATGGCGATGGTTCATAGTCCTCTGTTCCCATCTGTCAACGCAGCTTATGATGATACAATATTTGCCAAGATAAACTATATATGTTTGACTATTTTCTATTACTGAAGCAACAAAGATGACTTATTCTAAAATGAATTTAAAATGGTAAATACAGGGAACCTGATGAAGTCACGCCTTCTTCGCGCGCCATCTTGCGGCGATCGAGAGCGCGCGTCGGACGCCATGGGGCAGTCATGTGACGCCGCGCTCTCGCATGCTAGCGTCGCCTACTCGAGCTTCTGAAAAAGAACAAATCGATAAGGTTACAACGAAAATATAAGAACTCCATAAACCAAGACGCAAGAGTATGAAATTCCGCATATTGAGATTTCATTTAAAACATTTTTATTGAGTTTCGAAGCTTCACTTTTGTAACAAAATAAAAAAAAAACTGAAAATTAATTTCATATTCCAACTACAGAGAAATAGGAGAGTTCAAGGTCATAAAATCAGAATTGCTATCTAACATTTAAACTAAAACCAACAGCGACATCTGTTAAATTCTCAACAATCTTTTTGGGCGGCATCCTCTGGGCGGTTTATAACAAGGCGGGCGGGCGCTATAGGCGCTTTCGTGTTAGTTGCCATCTACGATGCCAGATGTCATTACTTTCAGATACAGGGAGTTAATTTTTAACTCCCGACGCTAAAAAGAGGAGTTATAAGTTTAAAGCCTTTGTCTGTCTGTCTGTGGCAACGTAGCTCCCAAACTGATGAACTAGTCTAAAATCATTTTTTTTTTCTAGCTGATGCTCGCAACTTCGTCTCTGTAGAATAAGTACTTCGAGTACTGCCTACTGTATTATACTAATTTTCTTGATTTTATTGATTCTCCATACAAACTTTCATCCCCTATTTCACTCCCTCTAAGACTTCTAAAGTATCGCGGCTTATATATTTAAATTAAGTTGTTCTAATATAGTACAACACGATTAACTATCGTTACGACGACAGACTGTCGTGACAATAGGAAGAGCTAGAACGACAGTGGTCCGACGAAAAATAAAACAACACGATAAAAATGTGACGACAGATAATCGCAACTTCAAACGATTCTGTCGTGGAAACGATATAGTGGCTGCCGCGAGCCGACAAATTGTCGTCACGATATACTGGGAACAGCTAGATACAACAGTCGTTCAACGATAAAATAAACGTCCACGACACAGTCACCACAGATAGTCGTGAAACGGTAACAGGCTAGACACGACAGTCGTCCAATGATAAATAAAACGTTACGACATAATGGGAACGCGCCCTGAGTGTGTCGCCGGCAGTGCAGTGTATTCAAAACGACGACCTCTAATTGAGTAAATAACTAAATAAATAATGGTAATTTCGTAGATAGATATAATAAAATAATTAATATAATAATGAAAGTACTAAATAAATAATTGTAATTTCAAAGTCTCAGACAAGTTTTTCATTTACATTACAATCCTTGTACAACCTTAGCGCATTCGGCTTCGCACGACAGCACACGACGGGAAACGTTATTTTCTCTCTGAGCGCGTGCTTAGGTCCTTTTTTCCACGTAGTGAGCGCCTGGTAACATTAATCAAATTTAGTAGGCTATTAGCGCAGGTATTTTTGATTTTGTATGAGACTCATGTATCTGTTACGTAGTAATATTAGGTAATCTGTGTCTAAACCTTTAAATCTATTATTATTTCCTTTTATAGTTTCGATGAATGTAGTCAGGTAATGTTGATCAAGAACGCCAAGTTTGAGGCAGCAGCAAGATAATATTTAATTTTGGAAGAACCTCTACGACGAATTGATATTGTAGAGAACATACCTGAGGTGAAAAAAAAACTATCATGGACAAACAATAAACTAAAGCCTAATATCACAATCTAACCAACTCCTACAGACGGAGACGTCTAGACAGAGTAATCGTGCGGGATGTGCAAGGCGACGGCGGGATGGGTGCGAGTCCGAGCTGATACACTGGCTCGGAACATACCGTCCAGGGTTGCAGTATTTACGTGTGATTGTTGTAGTGTTTTGTTGAATGGAAAATGGTACATACTACATGTGCCGCAGTTAGAGATTGCACATTATCATCTCACATAGATAAAAATCTCATCAGTTTCCGTATAAACAAGAAAGATGAGACAAATAATTTTATTTATTTGTAGTTTTAGGTAACGAAATTATATTTTGCTATATTTAAAAAAATCTTTGCGAGGTAGAACTTTGAGTGCCACTGCAACTGTTATGAACAGGCGTCGCTTGCCACGACTTGTTGGTCCCGTCACTTGGTGTCATAAAAAAAATTCTAGATCCGAAATGGCCGACAGGAGTTTGCATTTAAAATCAATAATCATATCGTATCGTATAGTTTTCGAGGTGTTTGGGAGTGCTTGTTACATTAATTTCTAAATCCAAGATGACGGACACGACTTTTCAAATAATAAATATCATGTGTCATTTTCATGTCTCATTTTCTGTTGAAAATGATATCATGAGTTGTAGTGATTTTTTATTGAAAATGATATTATGAGTTCTAGTGACAAGATCGATAACGAAAATATAATAGATTTTACTCTGCATAATTTGAAACAATTGGCAATATTAACCAAATGTCAAATATTACTTTTAATACTTATGAATATTTTATTATATCCAGCAATCCCTTGCTTCCCGGCTTCAACTGCCCGGCGGCAACAATGTACTCACAAAAATCTAAATAATTTATTTAGACTTCTGTGAATATACTGTCTGTCTGTCTGTCTGTCTGTCTGTCTGTCTGTACTGTCTGTGTCTGTGTTTTGATGAACTCCTAAATCAAAATGCACTCCTAATTGTTGCAATCTGTATGTTGTATTATTTTCTTTAAAGTTATTATAGCTAAACACTTAATATTTTGTCACCTATAAAGTAATAAAATCTGATCACAAGTGACAAGTTGACTACGTAACGTGATATAGGTACCCTGAGCCAAATAGGCTTCGTGTTGCGGCTGTGTGCAACCGCAGGTTATGTAAATCGATGTTACTCATTGTTAACGTCGTTTTCCATAACCTGGAGTTAAAATGAATGTCCTTAATCAGAAACTTCACTTCAAACTTCCCACACTTTGGGGTTCATACATGCAGCAGTCAGGTCCCGTGGCTTGAGGAAAAAGGCGAACGCAGTTGGCTGCTCGCCTAATACCCTAGTGTGGCCAGCGGACAGGAGACGGGGATCTGACGGAAGGACCGAGCGAGCCCCCGGAAACCGGGTTATCCAGAGAGGTCGTAGTGGTGAATACGTGAGATCTCACGGCGCCCACAACACCTAGCCAAAAGGGTAAGTCGGTGAGTTTTAGTAGGTACACCCTCCACCTGAAGAGTTAGTCCCAGAGTTAGATAGTGGATAATATGCATAAAACATTTCCCGTTGCAAAAAGAAGGTCCCGTGGCTTCAGTTCTGACGTACAAAAAGACAAATTGTAGGATTAAATCGTGTTTATATATCAATCTATTTCATTCCATTATGGAACACAATTTGCTTGTTATTCCTATAACCACTATGATTTCCTAAGCTACGAAACTGCGCCAAAAACGGCGAGTCGGACGTTGTCTCCCTTTATACTTAGGGTTTAAATTTGACACAGGCCACTCAAAGTGATCTTGACTGTAAATTTTTAGTAACAGTAGAGCTCCTTGTGAAAGAGTTCAACCGCGAAAGTACTGCCACCTGACTTATTTCTGTCGCCAAGCGGTAAAGAGAGCACAGAGAGAAATTAGAAGCACATGGGACTTGTCAACTTATGTCTCAAGGCGACTGGCGCAGCGGTAGTGTCAAATCTTTGCAATTTAAAACTCTGAGTGGCACTGCAACTGCTATGGACAGGCGTGTCGCTTAACACCAAGTGCACGATTATTTTGTTCGTCCCGTCACTTGAGATCATAAAAAAAATTAAGTGACTAATAAGATATATTGAATTCGTTGAACCTAAACATTTTCTAGTAGACTAGTAGTTTTTAGTTAGCTTGCGAGGCAGTAGGTCAAACCATTAGGCTATTTCATGATTTAAAAGCACGTTGTATGTTAAGTAAGTCTTCAACTGGCCTTGAGAATAAAAATGTTACTAGATCTGTATGTTTCTGGGACGTTAGAATTTCAATACGCCGAACGCACGACGCCATAATAATTTGGCAATCGATAACCATCAAATTCACGTTTAGGTCAAGAGAAATGCCATACCACAAATGACTACATGCATAAAAAACATACCATAAAAATAAAAAAGGAAATAATACAAAAAAAATCATAATGTGTAATTAATTTTTAGTTTTACGCGATTCCGGCATTGTGACCCGTTTTTGATGATTCTTGTTTTGTTGGAATGAGGGTCCCTCAGTTGTGGTCCCACCTGTAAGGGTGACAAACTAGGGGATGAATCCGGTTTCCCGCACTTTCCGGTAACCGATTTCAATAAAACTTGGCAAATAGATGTAATTGAACGCACTTTTGAGGTTGGTTTTTTAGTACTCTGTACTGAGATCATGGTTAGTCCATTTTTGTTCTCAATAATCATTTTGTTTCGGCATAAAATTAATTGGCAAATTTCAAGCAACTTAGATAAGAAAACTTTGATAAAAACTAGGTAGTTAATTATGTTTTAAATTTTTTTTTTGTAGTACTTATATACAGTTTATTTTATTTTTGTAGGGTTCGACATTCCTTAATCTCATAGTTTATTTCATTTCAAAAGTCTATTTCAAATTACTAAATCACACTTTAACGATGTAAACTAAGCCATATTACCGAAGTCTACATCGACTCATGATCTCAAAGAAAAATTCTGTTTTACACCTACAAATGGACTTGTATTAGTTATAATTATGCCATTATAATAGGCACAAAACTGTTAAAGTCTGCATTATACCAGCAATGTTAACCATGACTATACCAGGTACTCAGCTGTGGGACACGAATTCATAGCCTGTATACCGCACTTACTTCAGTGATGTTGGATTCTTGAGATATTCAGTAAGCTAACAGGAATTCTATGAATGATTACCTATATAATTAGGAAATGCTGCACATGCACATCGGTTACCTGATCTCATCCCAAAGTCACCGTTCTAAAAGTTGATACTCATACCCCGGGTAACTATAAATACTTAGTAGTATTACATATTACTTACTAGGTAGTACTTATAATAATAAGTAACGTTATCAACACTTGGGGACACTACTCTGAGCACCATCAAAATTATATTCTGAAAGTTATTTTGTTAAATAA